AGTCTGTCGAAGATTGCCCTTTTGATGGCAAGATGGCTGTTGCCTGTGAGATGTAAACTCACAGAGGTATATAACAGAACAACAGCAATGATTGCAGCCTTCGCTGAAGGTAAACACTCAATCACAATAGATACAGTGGCTTGCGAAAGTATTAACCCCGTTGACATTTTTCCTATTGTCACGCCCTGACTCAGGGGACTCTTATATGTGGAGTCAGGGTGTGAATATTCTGTTGTGTTTTCTATGTTTCAGTCTAGGTGTTGTAGATCTATGTTTGGCCGGGTGTGATTCCCAATCAGAGACAGCTGTCGCTCGTTGTCTCTGATTGGGGATCATACTTAGGCAGCTTGTTGGCATGCGTTAGTTGTGGGATCTTGTTCCGTGAGTAGGCTTGTTTTGTGTATTCCTTAGGACGTCACGTGTCGTGTGTTTACCATTTAAATAAACATGTACGCATTTCACGCTGCGCCTTGGTCTGACCCGTCCTTAAACGAACGTGACACCTATTTTGTTGCCTTACAACCTGGAATTAAAGTAGATTTTTTGGGGGTTTGTATCATTTGATTTACACAACATGCCTGCCACTTTGAAGATGCAAAATATTTCTTATTGTGAAACAAACAAGAAATAAGACAAAAAAAACAGAAAACATGAGCGTGCATAACTATTCACCCCCCCCCCAAAGTCAATACTTTGTAGAGCCACCTTCTGCAGCAATTACAGCTGCAAGTCTCGTGGGGAACGTCTCTATAAGCTTGGCACATCTAGTCACTGGGATTTTTGCCCATTCTTCAAGGCAAAACTGCTCCAGCTCCTTCAAGTTGGATGGGTTCCGCTGGTGTGCAGCAATCTTTAAGTCATACCACAGATTCTCAATTGGATTGAGAAGGTAAGCCATTCCAAGACATGTAAACATTTCCCCTTAAACCACTCAAGTGTTGCATTAGCAGTATGCTTAGGGTCATTGTCCTGCTGGAAGGTAAACCTCCGTCCCAGTCTCAAATCTCTGGAAGACAAACAGGTTTCCCTCAAGAATTTCCCTGTATTTAGCGCCATCCATCATTCCTTCAATTCTGACCAGTTTCTCAGTCCCTGCCGATGAAAAACATCACCACAGCATGATGCTGCCACCACCATGCTTCAAAAAGCAATGGCTTTTTTTCTGGCCACTCTTTTGTAAAGCCCAGCTCTGTGGAGTGTACGGCTTAAAGTGGTCCTATGGACAGATACTCCAATCTCCGCTGTGGAGCTTTGCAGCTCCTTCAGGGTTATCTCTGGTCTCTTTGTTGCCTCTCTGATTAATGCCCTCCTTGCCTGGTCTGTGAGTTTTGGTGGGCGGCCCTCTCTTGGCAGGTTTGTTGTGGTGCCATATTCTTTCAATTTTTTTATAATGGATTTAATGGTGCTCTGTGGGATGTTCCAACCCTGATCTGTACTTCTCCACAACTTTGTCCCTGACCTGTTTGGAGAGCTCCTTGGTCTTCATGGTAGTGCCCCTTGCTTAGTGGTGTTGCAGACTTTCAGAACAGGTGTATATATATTGAGATCATGTGACACTTAGATTGCACACATGTGGACTTTATTTAACTAAATATGTGACTTCTGAAGGTAAGTGGTCGCACCAGATCTTATTTAGGGGCTTCATAGCAAAGGGGGTGAATACATATGCACGCACCACTTTTCCGTTATTTATTTTTTAGAATTTTTTGAAAGAAGTTATTTTTTTCATTTCACTTCACCAATTTGGACTATTTTGTGTATGTCCATTACATGAAATCCAAATAAAAATCCATTTAAATTACAGGTTGAAATGCAACAAAATAGGAAAAACGCCAAGGGGGAGGAATACTTTTGCAAGGCACTGTATGTTAGGGGTCAATGAAGGATGAATAGGAACTTTGGGTATGGAAAATTACTGAGTGAGACAAGGGGAAGTGCAGAAAGTTCATATTCTGTTCAAACATGTTATTGCTGAATATTAATATTTCTAATGAAGGATGCAAATGGTAGCAGTTTGGTTTCAGTTCCTGATAAGACAGGCCAGTTGCTGTGGAACCAGGACCATGAGGAATGTGGAACTCAACTCGAGATAAGCACAATAGTTGAAGAGAGAAGACACTGCTGGGAGGGGGGCCATAGGGGCTCACCCCGAAAACCATCTGACTACAGTCCTATCCCATACACACACACTTCCACGCCCATGAGGGTCCTAGACTTAGGCAGGCCATGACGATACCGTGAGAGGAACCTATTGTGTTTCTGCCTAACAACAGAGAAGGAGTGTTTATCTTAGACATGCAAGGCGGTGACTCCGCCTACCCGGAAGGTATAAATATATGCTTGTGGGTAGAATAAACTTGGTTTGAGCTTTTTCTGGTTGTACGTTTCAGTTTTTGCTCTATTTGTTCAGAACCTAACATACTGTACCTTCATGCCACTGCTGCACCTCAGCAACCCACTCCTGAAGCACAGTGTCGTTGATGTCCAGCTCTGCCTGCTTTTCTTCAAGGAGACTGGTCTCCTCCTTCAGTCTTTTGACATTCTGAAAAAATACACTTGAAATACAGTACATAGGTGAAGGTTCAAATTTTTCAAGTGAATCACACTAAAAGATTTGACTTTAAAATATACAGTAATCTTCATGTTTTCCTACATCAAGATGACTAATAAAAACCTGAGCCAGGATTGCAGACAGAAGATCAGACATGTAGAAATAAATGAGATAAACAAGAATGAGAAAGCAGATACAGGTAAAAAATAAAAAAAGATTATGAAAGCCCCCCTCCCCCCTCCCCCCCAACAAATACCTTCACATATCTCTTTGCCAACATGTGATCCATGTTGGCGAACTTCCTCTCATTCCAGCCCATTGCCAGTAGTGTGATAATGTCTGTCCATACTGTTGGAAAAACATCTTCAGTCAGCTATTCTAATAATTTACTACTGTGTGCCTAACCAATCAACATAAAGATTGCAATTATAGTCATGTGAGATTAAAAAAAAAACTATAAAATCATTAACATTACATAACATCATCGTAGCATCATCAGTTAAGCCCAAAAAGTAAATGTCCTTCACTGTCAGCTTCTCCCTTCAGCAGTAACCAAGAAAATGTCCTGCTTTGGGGCAATTGTGTCAATGTTTCTGTTTTTTACGGGGTGGGGTAGTTAGCCCCACGCCCAACCCTCAACATGGAGGACCATGGACTGCTTTGTCTGCCTCCTACCCTTCGACCGGCTTGGTTGCACCTGCTGGGAGTATAAACCCCCTCCTGCTTAGCGCTCAGGGTCATTGGCGTACGCAAGCCTTTCCACCGTGGCAAGGTGACAGTCCAGGAGAGGGGCAATTAGGTTTATCTTATTAATTGAAGTGTGCTGGAGCTCAAATATAAAGGACCACTTAATAGTTAAACATTATTAAGGGAATTATGTTGCAATCCTAAACCTTCTTCAGCATTAGTTATGTTATCATAATACACTTACCAGTCTTGGACATGTACTTTGTCGTGACAGCAGCTCTGGATATAAAACTATTCACCTGCTCGACTTCCTCTCTGGTTGTGTTGCCGGCACCAGGATGATTGCGGCCTCCCCATTTGAGCTATAATGCCATAATGAACAAATACCAAAAAAAAGTATAATGTATTAATTCAATTATTTTAAAAAGCATTACAATATCCTTTCTGCATAACAGAAAACTGTCAAGAAGGAAAACAATTACCTCACAAGACCATTCATGCACTTTCGCATGCATAACGGACAGGAGAGGGTGCATTTTTAGAAGCTCCTCCAACTCTGGGCACGCCTGCACAACTTTCTGCAAATATAGCCAGTATTTGCATGCAACATCGCAGCAGAAAAAGCCCACCGTGCCAGCAGAAGACAGCTCCTTCTGCAAGTACATTGCATAGGCATATATCTCGCCTCTGTACATGTTGAGGGCCTTGAGGAGCACACCGTGTCGGCAAACTGCTATCTCAAGACCCTCCTCATCTACTTTGGCAGATTATTTTCCTAATGTCTCTTTGGCCGCTGTCCACTCTGATGTGCCACACATTCCTTTGCCTGGCTTCTACAACATGAAAATTACAGTGAAGTGCAGAGATTAATTTAAAAGAAACAAGTTCTGGGTGACATTAAGCTATGTTATAGAAACTGTGAGAATAATTACATGATTGGTCTTTGTATGGACATGTTTGACGAAGGATGACACATCATCATCTTTCGCCAGGAAGACACCATCATAGAAGCCCTTCTCAACACTAAATAGAGAGTCAGACTGCAAGATTACATCACAAAATTGTACATAAAACCAAACCGCCAAGGTGTGGCAAGTAGCCTAGAGAGGTGGGTTGCTGGTTCAAATCCCAGACATCTGACCGTGTTGCTCCAACCTCTCTGTGCGTGTGTCTGTGTGTCTCGGAGGGATTTGGATAAAGCAAAAAGACAAATCACTGTCCCACAATTTTGCTTAATGGAAAATGACCTTCCAGTTGACAATTAATCTTCTTCTAAAAAGAAGACCAACTGCAATATAACATCATAAACATATACTTCATAACAAAAAGAAGACCAGCATGCACTTTAAGAATGCATAATTACACCCTGACAAAACATCAACACATAAGAAGGTAGTACAAACCCTGAGGCTTTCCGGAAGCGGTATTGCTTGCGATTCCCATCCACTCCTATAGCATGCATCTCCTGTGAGCAGGCAGGACAATGGAGGAGATTGCTTCCACAAAGCTTGTCTATTTCAAACCGCCTATACGTCCACTCGAGGAATTCCTTCTGGAATGTGTCGCCACACATCTTTCCACTCTAATAACATGCAAAACATACAGAGGTATAAGTAAGGGACTATTTTTATATTAGGGACACATATTCACCACTAATTATATACACACTTACCCTGCCAAAGTGCTTTGTTCTTCCGTCAAGCATTCACACAAAGCCTTGACGGGAGCATCCTGGGGCCAACACCTTCATGTCTTCAAAGGACTAGAAGAGGTCCACTGTGAAGATGGTCTGGTGAGTCAAGGTGGCTGGCCAGTCACCACTCTTTACAAGTTCGTCCAGCCCCACTGTCCAATGTCTCAGACACCCGGAGCAGTTCAGAGCAGGAAGGGACAGGTTGTAGCGCCCTGAGTCAGGAGTAATTATTAGGAAGTAATTAATTACATTCTTTAAAAACATGTGAATAGAAGTAATGTCCTTAAAAACCACACACATACCATTTATTCCAATCAGGATTACCTGCTTGCCACTCATCACTGTCAGGGCACTGGGGGCGCAACCACACAGCTGTGGCACAGCCATGGGCAAAACACAAACTAGAAACCAACATGTGACACCCAAAAGAAAATCACAAATAAATGGTTCTATATATTTGGACTGTAAATACTGATGCATTGAAAATTGTGCAGCATGACTAAAAAGTTGGTATTGCAGGAGGTGCTATCAGGTTTAATTTGAATCACCTAAACAATAAACACACACCTTGCTCCTGGAAGGTAAGGGACCCCTCATCATCCTGATGAATTACGGTGGTTGGGGACAAGGGGAGATAAAACCCTTCAAACAGAGACTCCCTGTTGTGCAAAACCTTGGTGCTATGGGTGGCTATGTCACATGAGGCACAGAGAAGATGCCTGGGCAGGCAATCTCTGCACTGCACAACTGCATTCTCACTGTTGCAATACTGACACAGGCCCAACACAGAACCTTCAACAACAGCATCCTCACTGTTGCAATACTGACACTGGCCCAACACAGAACCTTCAACAACAGCATCCTCACTGTTGCAATACTGACACTGGCCCAACACAGTACCTTCAACAACAGCGTCCTCACTGTTGCAATACTGACACTGGCCCAACACAGTACCTTCAACAACAGCGTCCTCACTGTTGCAATACTGACACTGGCCCAACACAGTACCTTCAGCTGAGAGCATGCTGTCTACCATTGCCTCTCTTTTCCCCCCACGTTTATGCACAGAAGGCCTGCCTCTCTGCCCAAGTCACCTTTGGGGTTACATGACAATCTGGCCCCGTGAAACTCCCCATCAGCTCCTGTAGGTCCTGCATCAGGGAGTCTTGTTGAGATTTTTTTTTTTTAAACATGACAGAACGCATGAAAAGAATAGCTTGGCTGTATTAAAAAATGTTAAGGTTGGCATGGCATTTGTTTGGCATTCTAGCATACTGTACCTGTATCTTGTGGGGATAATTGCAGGAACATGGGTACTGCAGGAGGATGGGTACTGGTACTGGAAACTATTAAATAAAAATGGTGTTATATTTCTTCATCAACGCAACTTAAGTATAACTGTGTTTATTGGGTGAAGAGATGAGAATCCACTCTAACAGATATATGTCATAACATGATGATATACTGTACGTCATTATATTAGATATATATGTCATTAAATGACTGTGCATAACTATGTGGTTTTAATGTACATTAGCAGTGGTTCTTCTTATTTTGAGAGTAATATAACATTTTGAATCTATTTTCAATACATGCAACCTAAGCGTTCATGCCTGCAAGACAGAGGCTTAGGTTACAGTCAATAGGTCTGAGGATTTGAAAGTTTTATAGCACTATATTGTATTTAATCCCACATTGAAATGAAAGCCAGTGAGCCAGCTAAAATTGGTCAGTATATTGCAACTGCATTTAGTACTAGTTAGAGATGTCCTAACAAGGTAGTCATGCTGCCTGACAAGTTGAATGACGCTAGCCTTGATGAGGCCCTTACTCTCTTGGGGTTGTTGTGTGTAGCGTGATTTCCTTAGGGTCAAGCGCCCTGGCTTCAAGCTTACCTCAGGTCAATACCCCCTCCTACCATTTGCTACTCTGATGAGCAGAAGTAGGATAGTGTATGAGGGTCAAAAGCATGTCCTGTTAAGGCGTGAGGGATTTGTGATAGAGAAGCACAGGTTGTATTTTCTGAACCGAGGGAGTAGTGTAACGATCCTAGCCTTTATAAGTCTATTAAGAAATCCCCCAAGGGAGATCTCACTCTTGGCATCTCCCTTGGGGTTCCTTTAGGGCAGAGTTTCCCAAACCTCTCCTCGGCCCCTCCAGACATTTCACATTTTTGTTTTAACTTAACTGGCACACATGGTTCAATTAGTCAACTAATCATCAAGGTTTTGACTAATTAAATCAGGGGTGGCAATTTAGGGTTAAAACAAACATTTGAAACTTCTGGGGGGGCCAGTGGAGAGGGTTGGGAAACCCTATTTAGGGTCAGATGCCCCAGGGTCAAGCTCTATTTAAGGCGGTACTCACCCCTGCCATTAGCTGCAATAAGGTCACCTGTTCCGGTAAGGTCCATGTCCTCCTCTGTGACTTTTGATGACAGTAATATACAATTAACATGAGGCAGCCAGGACTGGCATATGTTATTTATTTAGAAAAAAATGTTCACACTTTACATGCATAAACAAACACACAACCAAATAGGTACAAAACACTTACCTTTTTTGTCCAGGTCTTTTGTGAATTAGGTTGCCTCTGCTGGCTAGTGGCAGGAGCAGGTGACTGTCGGTTTGCAGCTCGCTCCTTCTGATCCTAAAGTATTATTCAAATCAAACATAGAATGGGAATCTGTCTGTGATTAAAATTACAACACAACAACTTTGTGGTATGTACCCACAATTCAACTGCCCTAAAAATATACTGGGGAAATGGGAAGAAATACCACTTCATTGTTGAAATTGTAATGCTGTGCGATAGCTTTCTCAAAGAGCCTCCTCAAATGCCACCCATGCCGCATCCCGCTCTTTGCTCAAGCTCCTTTCTCTATTTGGTTGAACATAAACATTATTGTATGTTAACGTAGAAAAAAAAGTACCAAAATGGGTGATCATATACTGTGAGACAATCAAATATATATAGTAGATTCACACATGATAGAAGTAAATTGGTACACATTGTGGATGGTTGATTTTCATTATCGTGGGAACTGCGTTATATTGTGCAAAAGCTTCCACAGTTAACACTCAAATGTTTTTGTTATTTATCTGCTTTAATTCATTAACATCTCAGGTACGAACAAAGCTGGTATTATTATTTATCAACTAGATGTGTATTCATATTTACACAATTGGTATACAGACAGCAAAAAGAGAATGACAGTTTACAGTTTAAAATGTGCAGACACCTGTGTAGCTATGTAATCATATTTCTATGGGACACACACAGGCCATAAATAAACTAGCTACACCATCAAATATCTAATTAAAAGGCAAAATAGTTTATTCTGTTATATGTTATGTATTCTATGCAGTTATTGTTTATTTTAAATTGGGTGCGGTTTTCAACACAACCACAGAAAGTCAGTTCCGGTATAAATGACAAAACGTCAGTTCCGGTACTATGGAATCATGGGATATTGAGTTTCACAGTCCGTTACTCACAGCCAGACACTTTAAAAAAGTATTTCCATGTGCTTACACGATTGATATTATTGATTGTCTTTTTACAGAATTAATAACGGCGAGCAGCTAGCTAAAAAGGCCCAATGTTCACTGGGGGCAACCGGTGGGAACCAAAAAGCTAACGTTAGCATACAATATACTGTTGGCCAGAGCGAATAAATATAACTTCCTGTCTACAAAATGAACCAATATACGTCACCGATTGAAATAAAATAGTTTAGAATTATGCGGGCCGAAATACAGAAAATACTATAATATTTGTCATTTCTTATCCAATAATTTACCTCGTTCTCACTGTAAAATAGCTAACGTTAGCTAGCTTCAACCAAATAAGCAGTTATGTTTATTTGTACTAAGAGCACAAACTCAGTGTGTAATGAATACTCAGGGAGAAAAAGGTGTAGATTCACGCGCAGAGCGCGGCAGGTGTTTATTTCGTCTTCGCAAAAGGCAGGAATCGTGGTCACAGGCAGGCAATGGTGAAATCAATGAACAAAAATGAAAGACAGGGCTACGTTCAAGAACACAAGGTTGACTAAGAAAATAAATACAGAACCTTACACAGGGCGCATCAAGTTTAAAGAGATTCAGAAGGGGCGTGGCATCAGAGGTATCTGGTTGCGCCATAAGTTTGTGCTATTAGTACATAAAAACATTGTGCTAATTTGTGTATATAGTACATAATTAATGAGAGACTGGGTTGTTAATGTGCAGGCAGATGTGGCCAATAGTGTGTGATTGCGGCCGCAATTTGGGGAGTTCCTGTATCATTATGGTAAGTGATGAAATAAGTATAGCTAGTTATAATTGTAATGGCTTAGCAGATAATAATAAAAGGCGATCAGTCTTTACCTGGCTAAAAGATAAGGAACATAATATCTATTGTTTACAGGACACTCATTCTACTTCTTTAGACGAAGTTGTATGGAACAAGGACTGTGGGGCGAAATATATTTCTCCCATGGGCAAAGAAACTAAAAAGGAGTGATGATATTAATTAACAACTTTGATCCGAATGTGTAAACTGTTCAAACAGATCAGCAAGGAAGGGGGATCCTTTAATATATATATATATATATATATATATATATATATATTTTACCTTTATTTAACTAGGCAAGTCAGTTAAGAACAAATTCTTATTTACAATGACGGCCTATCAAAAGGCAAAAGGCCTCCTGCGCGGACGGGGGCTGGGATTAAAATAAAAATAATAATAGTATAGGACAACACACACATCACAACAAGAGACACCACAACACTACATAAAGACAGACAGACCTAAGGCAAAAACATAGCATGGCAGCAACACATGACAACACAGCATGGTAGCAACACAACATGACAGCAACATGGTAGCAACACAACATGGCAGCAGCACAACATGGTAGCAGCACAAAACATGGTACAAACATTATTGGGCACAGACAACAGCACAAAGGGCAAGAAGGTAGAGACAACAATACATCACACGAAGCAGCCACAACTGTCAGTAAGAGTGTCCATGATTGAGTCTTTGAATGAAGAGATGGAGATAAAACTTTCCTCTTACCAAACCACATTACCTTTGTTTTGGAGGTGTTCAGAACAAGGTTAAGGGCAGAGAACGCTTGTTGGACACTAAGAAAGCTTTGTTTTAGAGCTTCCTACTGCCTGAGCTATGTTGTTGATGTAAATTGAGAAGAGCGTGGGGACTAGGATCGAGCCTTGGGGTACTCCCTTGGTGACAGGCAGTGGCTGAGACAGCAGATGTTCTGACTTTATACACTGCACTCTTTGAGAGAGGTAGTTAGCAAACCAGGCCAAAGACCCCTCAGAGACACCAATACTCCTTAACCGGTCCACAAGAATGGAATGGTCTACCGTATCAAAAGCTTTGGCCAAGTCAAGAAAAATAGCAGCACAACATTGCTTAGAATCAAGGGAAATGGTGACATAATTTAGGACCTTTAAGGTTGCAGTGACACATCCATAACCTGAGCGGAAACCAGATTGCATACCAGAGAGAATACTATAGACATCAAGAAAGCCAGTCAGTTGATTATTGACAAGTTTTAAAACACTTTTGATAAACAGGGCAAAATAGAAATTGGCCTATAACAATTAGGATCAGCTTGATCTCCCCCTTTAAATAAAGGATGCACCATGGCTGCCTTCCAACCCCCCCCAAAAAAAACTCCCCAGAGGAGAGACATGTTAAAAAGAGATAGGATTGGTGATGATAGGGGCAGCAACCTTAAAGAAAAAGGGTCTAAACCATCTGACCCAGATGGTTTTTTGGGGTCAAGTTTTAAGGAGCTCCTTTAGCACCTCGGACTCAGTGACCGGACTCAGTGACCGCCTGCAGGGAGTAACTTTGTAGCGGGGCAGGGGAAAAAGAGGTAGGAGCATCGTGGCTAGTCGCATTAGGTGGGAGATGAGGAAATGTTGGACGGGCAAGGAGGCATGGCTGAGTCAAATAGGAATCCTATGCTATTGGACCATAAACAGACTTGGCTCATTAATCTATATGGTCCAA